GAAAACCGAAAGTCGGATCAGTCTGAAAAGATATAGCAACCCGAGTCAGACCAGTTTGGAGGTCTGGTGTGAGTTTGGTGGTCATAGCTCGAAAGCTCTAGGAGGAGATAGAGTTTAATTTTTAGTCTCAGAAGAAAAATAGGATAACAATAGTCTGGCTTGCTACACAAGCCAGCCTAAAAAAATAGGATAACAATAGTCTGGCTTGCTACACAAGTCAGCCTAATAATAGGGTTTAACGTAGACTAACCATGCTCCGTACACTTTTCACTATTCAGCACACTCAAACAACCACTACTCTTGTCATTGAAAGCCAGATAAGCATGCTTGTGTGTTCATTCTCTGGGGGAATACCTATTGCACAATCCACATCTTGATTGATGTCTTTTGGACCAGTAGTTTTTGAGAAAAGATGGGATAAGTACCGCCTTCGCATGTGTACGGAAGATGATAGGTAATAATGGTGTTCCGTACACGATTAAAATAGTGTTCCGTACCGGGCCCATAAGTTTAATTTACTGGCAAAAATGGGCATTGTTTGAAGTCTTATTAAAATCTTATGTCAGTATATACTATTATTGTGTTTAACTTGAAGTTAATGATATATTAAATAACTCTTTTATTAAAGTTTGAAATTAAATGGCTTCAAAATCATTTACTTTTTATATCATGTTAATTTTATTACAGCATGACAATTTCAAATATTAAAACATTAAATTTATGCACATTAACGCTAACTTGACTGACCTTTTATGAATAAAAACATCATCATTGCAAAACGAGAATCCAAACAGTGTTTGCAGCCTGTCTCTCAGGCTTTCTCTGGCGGAGAGTTGCGACATGCGGTCATTACCCACAACTGACGTTTAAACATACCCATTTCAAAGCATTTATTCAACAAAAGATAAGTTATTTAACAATTTGTGATAAAATAATATTCACTTCATAAAGACTGTAATACCATGTGATCAGGGCTTTACATTAACACCCACCAAATGCGGGTAGATTTCAGCTTTGGCGGGTTAGACAGACGCCTCCACTAGCCACTTTGGCAGGTTGGAAATAATTTTTACATTGTAGTTTTCTTAAAGCAGTTCAACAATAAGGATGGCCCAATATGCATGCAAACGTGATCTTAGAATAGAGAAGCAGCACGACTGAAAACAGTAACTGTTCGCGCGAGACAAACCAGGTGAATACCGTATGAGAGGATGATTACTCATCCTGTTAAAAAGCGCGCACGCGTTCTCTTTGTAAAAGACTTGATAAAATACGATGCTCGTGTACCCACAGTCCTGCTGCTTTTAAGAGCTCAAGATTAAAAAATATGTAAATTTGTAAGCAACAGCAGCAGTCACCGCTTTCGTTTTAATTATGCTCACGCACGTGATCATCCTTTCATTATTACTCGTGATGTTTTTACCTGCTTTTTTTTGCTTACAGTTATTTTTGTTAATATTGTCTAATTATCATCCTTTACAATAACATTTCTTTAATATGAGATTAACTCCCCATTTGTGTGTAGTAACTGCTGATCTGGGACCTTAAGCCCGGACAGATTACTGTGCATATTTTAGATGCATGACTATAGATCTTTTTAAATGTTAATTTAAAAAAATAATAATAAAGTTTTGTTGAATAAAAAATGCATGTATACAGCTATATATTTGCTTGTTTTGAAACATTTAAATATGTGGCTAAGAAATAATTATTTCTTTTTAATGTGGTTGGAGATGAATTTGGTAAAACCTTTATTTTGAGCCCTAAAAAGTCATGTGAAATAAAAACCAATTGCAATGCGACACAACCCATTTGCTCATGCACAGTGAGCAAGCTCATACACAACACACACAAACAGTGAAATAAATGAGGAGGCATGTGGACAACACAACATCTAAATCAAGTCATGTTAGCATGTCAAAGTCACATTTATTTATATAAAATATATTTTCCAAACAACAAAATTGTGGCTAGTGAAAATGGCAAGTGGCTAGTAATGTTGGAAATCTACTAGCCACAGTGGCTGGTGATCTAAAAAGTTAATGTAAAGCCTTGCATGTGATGCATAAATTAAATGCAAAAGCAAATTGTCGTGGCTTTAAATCTCTCCCCTCCCAGGCGACACTCGCACTTTAAGCTTGCCCACTGTCTATTTTCAAGCGCATTAGGTAAATGTTGCAAACTTACTGATTTTACTCGGAAACATATAGTAGGAAGGGGCCCTATCATACACCCGGCGCAGTGTGGCGCAATAGTCTTTTGGTAGTTTCAGCTTGGCGCAAGAGTCGTTTTGAGGCGTTGCTCTACGCTGTTTAAATAGCAAATGCATTAGCGCTCATTTTTGCGCCCGTAGGCGTTCTGGTCTAAAAAGATAGGCGTTCTGATGCGGACCGTTGGCGCGTTGCTATTTTGAGAATCTATAATAGATTTTTCATTAGACCAAAACTAACCCGGTCTAAACTCCGGCGCAGAGTTGCGCCTCGCCTACACACTGCTTAATACACACAAGAGAGCAATAGGCAAATATCTTTACAAATGAAAAAATGTAAATATTAAGGATATATATAGGATATAATAAGAATAGATATAGAATATAAATATAAAGGATTAAAATATTACAAAACATTATTTTCTAGCCTACATAAACATGAAAAACCACTGCTTTTATGTCTTCTTCATCTCCTGATGCTTTTTCAGTTCATTCATAACAATTTGCTTTTGTATAATGTTATTATTATTAGCAGTATTATTTATTATATCCATATTTAGATTTGTTTTATTAAAAACAAGCTTAGATTTGCCCACCTGCAGGTTTTAGACCATATGGGGCACAGCATGTGTTTTAGAATATAACTCAGATTTTTGAGCACATTTTGCTATTATTATTCATTTATTCGTTTGCTGGAAATTAGAACTAAATTTAGAAATAGTTTTGAAACGAATATTTGCGCTTAACAAACAAAAGTATTTATTTATAGACTGATGTCTGTGCGTAAAGGTTTCCCTATCCAAGAGTGAAAGTGATCTCTCATTCTCACGCAGTAGATGCTCTGTTTAACAGTTTTCTGTTAAAAAACTGTGAACTGTTTGCTAGTGAAATGCTCATTTTTTCCACTTACTTTGCGTCCTGTAAATAGCGAATGCGCTCTTGGCGCGACACAGCTGACTCTTAAAGGGAATGGGAGATGAGACTCTAATTGGTTTATTCTCAAAACACACCTATAACTTATTAAGAAAATAAACTCAACCCTTTTAGAACATGCGCCGCAGCGCAAGGCAGATTTCCCGTCCTTAAATTAGCAAAAACGTGTCCTGACACGCCCTGAAAGCGCTTGCGCCCTGCGTTTTGCGCTCTGCGCATGGACCGTCAAAATAGAGCCCGAGGTCTCTGTTGTGGTTGGGGCTGAAAGAGTGAGAATTAAAGATTACACAGATATATAGCTTGCCTACGACCCATAAGTATGTATTCAGAGATTAGCGTTAAAAGGTAATCTGTACGGAACATTGTTGTGTACGGAATATGGTTAGTCTACGTTACACTGCATCATACTTTAGAAACATAATGTGTTGATGAAAGACTCATGAAATGGTAATAATAAACGTTTACAAAGCGATTTAAAGCTTTCGAAAATCCCGATCGCAGTACATATGTCCATGCCTAATATCCGATGGCCAGAAAGTGATTATTTTTTATTAATTGTTAAATGTTTGGTATTTGTTATGCAGCAAGCCCAGAGATTGTTGTGTACACTATGATTCTATATAAAATTTACTTTAATGTGTGATAGGAATAAAACGTGATCATAAACGAACGATTTCTCCACTCAAATGAATGGAGGCTTAGACCCGGAAACAGTATTACATACGACACAAACACGTCACCACTTAACAAGCGGATAAAGAGAAAATGTTAAGGTACTACGTTCATTGACTTTATGGATGAAAATTGTATAAGTGAAGTTTATTCATAAACTAATTTCGAGAGGATCACGTGCTTATGATTGACACGGCTGGCCCCGAGTCAAGCTAATGTACGAACCACCAATCAGACTACTCCTAACCAAGTATAAATAACCAAACACCTTACCTTTAGTCATCTTCGTCTTGAAGAATCCCCCCTTCCACCCCTTCGCCTCCTCCTTTGTCTACAGGGCAGCACGGCGGCCCAGTGGCTAGCACTGCAGCCTCACAGCAAAATGCCTCCGGTTCGGGCATCTACCCAAACTAGTCCATCTGCCCTGCAACGGGAGGGAGCCCCGGGCTCGAGGCTCTCATGAGCTCGGGGCTCTCTCCCGGGACAGCATGCCAAACTAGCTTATTACCAATCATCAGCTAAGTGTGAACTCTTGAACTGTCATTTGAATTGTTCAGAAAGCATAACCTGTGAAGGAATACTGTTAATAGTTATTGACTAAATGTTTTGCACTTGCTGTTTATTGTGAAAAAAGGAAAAAGCTATTAAAGAAAGCACCAGAATGCAGCAGATCCTAATCTGTGTGTATTGCATCTTTCTTACAGTTACTGGCTCTCATACTTCACCGTCTGAGGCTGGTAACGTGTGTTGTGTGTGGGAACAGTGACCACAGTGGCAGTAATGCAATATAGCATCCGTGGCCATAGAGAGGGAGCAGTTATTCCTCCTATTAGTGATGGAATGTGCATTTAGCCTCCTGCTGGGCCTGTTGCTGCAATGCTTTCCTGCAATGAATTTTTTAAATCTATCTCAAAGTTATGTTTTTTTTTTCTTCTGGGAAATACATCAGTGTTTATACAGAAAACGTGGAATAGATGGCATATGCTGCATGAGAATTGTGTGATACTTGATTTTTTTGTTGTTTGTCTTGAAGCTTGATGTTTATCTCATTTTACTGTCATTATGAATAGATTATTTCACACCTATTTGCAATTTTTTAGACATAATGGTACATAATAAAATGGTATTAAACAACAATATTCATTGAAACGGCCCCATTAAACAAAACTACACAGGGTTAGTTTTAAATGCAATGCTTTTTATTGAATGTTTGATTAAACATTTAATTATTACATGAAGAACACCACATGATCTGTGACAAAATTTCTGAAACTATGAAACTCTATGACCAATTTGCAACATAATCTGAAAAGAATATTTGAAAAAGACAATGCTGAGTATATATTTCTTCTTTATAAAATCAAAAGGCGAAGACTCATTTAAATTGGACTAGAGGAATGAGAGTGCAGACAAAACTCAATCAAAGGTAAATCAGCTGATAATCTGCTCCATCTTGACATTACAAATCTTTTTCTACTGTTTTCACTTTGATATCAGTGTAAGTGACGCCTTTGTATATGCCCTTGGTTTCGTACTGTAACTCACTGCCATTCTTGCAAGTGATCTTCACTGTGCCAGTGTACGGCAGGTCAAAAGTTGCTCTGCCAATGGTGATGCCAACATCCACCTTCTTCTGTGGTGGAATATTCACAGAGGTAACCAGAGTTTCATTTCTCTCATCCGTCTCCTCCAGACCATAGGTGTGTTCAGATCCAAGACTGAAACTGAATCCCATAGAACCTTCTGCAACGTCTGGAATCCCAGCCTTCACCCCCACACTGAATGTTGATGAAAAGCTGGAAGTCATTGACCATGAACATGTTTTGATCACTGTATTTGAGCTTGCGAGAGCTTTGTTTTGGTTAACAGATGTGTTGTTGTCAAAAGTAATGGAATTGATATCTTCTACAGCCACCTTTGGGATCTGCTGGTTGATGGTGGGATAGTTGACATTGGTGAGAACTGATGACTGAACTGCATAGAGAAACATGAACCCCATGCAGTCGATGTCTGCACCTGATCTTCCAACGATGCCAAGACAATAACCAGAGCCGACATCAATGGGATATTCTTGTTTTAATCCCCACTTTGTCATCTTTACAAAAAATTCATTACCCTTACTAGTTATGAATTTGATGGCTCCGAGACGTGTTCCTGCTCCGTTCCCCCAGAGGGACAGTGAGGTGAAAAGCTCTCCAGGTGAAAACACATACTCTTGATGTGATCCAGATGGTTCTCCAAAGGTTTTATTTCTACCATCTGAAAGCCAAGCCCTGATAGCCCTGATCTGCCATTCTCCCACCCAAACCCAGATCTTCTCTAAACTGGCACCATTTTTTTCACCAGTAAATGAAAATGAAGAACCTCCTTGACCACCAATTAACTCTAGTGTTGTTGGGTAGGCCATCTCTGAAGAAATTAGGTCTGAAAATCACATAACAAAATGATCATCAGATTTTTAATATTTATCTCTAGAAGACATTCAAGATGTCCATCGCAGGACTTATACTCACATGAATGACTGGGGTCTGATGAACTTCTCAAGAGCAGCTCGTCAAAATGCTGGGCAAGTGAAAAATCTTTGATTGAGCTGCCGCTTATATAGATCTGGAAAACACACCTCGAATCCATGAGTCAGAGATCTGCGCAAAAATGACAAAACAATACTTGGTGATTAATAACCATTCCTATTCTGACGAGTTCATGAATCAAGCTTGCATAAGAAATCAAGATTGAGAAATCAAAATGACATTTCCGATAAACTTTTAAGCCTTGGGGTTTTATGGAAAGTTTGGGGCACCAGAGACGTTTTGGCATGCCCTGACATTTGTGCTTTTACAGGTTCTCATAGACATATTAACCCTATCACACACACACACACACACACACACACACACACTAATAGTTTTAATAACTCATCTCTAATAACTGATTTATTTTATCTTTGACATGATGACAGTAAATAATATTCGACTAGATATTTTTCAAGACACTTCTATACAGCTTAAAGTGACATTTAAAGGATTAACTAGGTTAATTAGGTTAAATAGGCAGGTTAGGGTAATTGGGCAAGTTATTGTATAATAATGGATTGTTCTGTAGACTATCCAAAAAAAAAACAAAAAAACAATATAGTTTAAAGGGGCTAATAATTTTGACCTTAAAATGTGTTTTAAAATTTAAAAACTGCTTTTATTCTAGCCAAAATAAAACAAATAAGACTTCCTCCAGAAGCAAAAATACTATCAGGCATACAGTGAAGATTTCCTTGCTCTGTTCAACATTATTTGGGAAATAAAGTTGGGGGGGGATAAAGTGGGGGGTTGGGGGGTGCTAATCATTCTGACTTCAACTTCTATATACATATTAGGGGTGTAACGGTTCACAAAAATCATGGTTCAGTTCAATACGGTGTCACGGTTCGGTACGTTTTTGATACAGCAAAAAAAAAAGAAAAAAGCCAGAGGCTTTCTTTGATTTAATTTTTTTAATGTATTAAAACTAACATCATAAAAGTATGATCCTGTTTTTTTTTTTCTTTTACTTTAAACAGTGATAGAGCTGTACTTCTGGGGTTTCTGCCTAGCAGCAAATAAAACAAATCCTTCTTTACACTCAAAACCAAAAAGCTTCCTATAAAAATAAATATAACATTGTATCAGTTAAACAAATAAAAAGAAAAGAACAATTTAGTTTCTATATGGACCTCAGTTTCAATCTATTTTTAAGTATTTTTTTTATTTTTATTTTTTTCAGAAAGATGAGTGTCCACCTTTTCCTCAGACAGTACAGATCTGCTTGATTTGACTCATGTCACCTGCCATTTCAGTGGATCTAAAAGCAGGAATTATCTGACTGAAATGGGCTTATGAAGGAATAATGTAACGGGGCTCTCTTACATTTAACAGTTTCTTAAAACCCGACATTTCCTCTACCGATTAAGATCTCTCAGATGTTTTTTCACCACTCTCTTGGTAGCGGTTATGGTGTACAACGTATCTGAAGAGCGGTGGGACGTGTGCGTGCGATGTACCTGAGCGGCGGGGGTGAGTTGTGCCCAACGTACATGAAGAGCTGGAAGGGATGTGGTGGAGAGGGGTGTGTGACTTCCGACGCGTGATTTCCGCTTCCGGGAGACTTGGGATGTCTAGGATTACATTACATTACTAGCCATTTTGCGAGCTAGTGTAGCGCGTGCCTGACTGGAGTAGTGTTTGGGGAGGTTGGCTCTTTTGTGTCGGGGGTCCAGGGTTGCTCGGGCAACAAGGGCGGAGCCAGCATGAGCAGCCAGGCTGACACAGAAGCTAGCAAGATTGCTAATGAGTAGGGTTGGGTACCGAAACCCGGTGCCATTATAGCACCAATACCTTGGTAACCGGTATGTACCGGTATTAAATCAGCATATGAATTTCGATGTTATTTCGGTACTGCGGCAAAAACGTAAGCAGCATCAAAGAGGTGCATGAATAAAGGCACGCGTGTTGTGTCACAGCATAACTAAACATTTAATTCTAAACAACTTTGAGGAATACAGACAGGCGATATCAGGGGTTTGTTATTGTCGCTAGGGAACAGACGCACGCAGTGCAGTACAGCACATTCAGCCTGGTTTTCAGTGAGCGAAAGCAAAGTGACACTCTTCAGATCACGGCGCGTGATCACGTTCATCCAATTTGCTTAAACTAAGCATTCTAAAGCGTATTTTACAAGCAAGGATTCTTACACAACAACTGTCTTTGCAAAAGTTGCGTGTAAGGGGAAAACATGTCAAACTTAATGACATTTGAGGGCTCAAAGGCAGAGCCCCTCTCGCGTGCTTTAGGTGTCGCTCCCTCTGTTTTGGCTCTCTCTGTGAAGGTGCTGTCGCATCAGTTCGCATCAGTTCCCTGCATTGGTCAGAAGTTGATGCCCAAATTGACTCAGGTAATAAAAAGATTAAACTTCAGTCATGTTCATGTTGTGAAACACTATCAAAACGTCCACCGTTGATGATATTAGACTTCAGTTTTCAGTAGCAATTTTAACACTGTTAATATAGGAAGTCCTTGGCTATGCAGAGACCATTATTAATCAGAACTCTAGTGCACATAGTTTAACGTTAGAAAATGTAGTCTTTAGAAATTGTAGGTACAGTCGGCAAGTACCAAAGAACAGATGTAAGTTAAGACATTGATCAAATGTAGTTTTCAGTCACACTCATGTAGCCTTATGCCTAGTTCAGACTGCGTGATTTTAGCCCCGATTTTGGCTCGCCGACAGGTTTTGAGAAATCGCTGACAAATGTCTGAAATCACAGGCAAATCGGTGCTCGTGCATGTGAGTGACAATCACACAGTATGAACTATCCAAGACGCGATCTGAGAGAATCGTCGATGAGTCGCCGATGGCTGTGAGATATTTGGCGTGCTGAATATCTGAATTGTCGGCGATTCAAATCATGCCGTGTGAAATGAGTTGACTGAAAATAACATCAGCGATCGCCTACAGCCAATGAGAGAGCAGCTTTCACTTGCGTGTGTGTGTGTGTATACCTGCTGCAGGCCAGCGGGAGGCTGGGGGAGAAGTTAAAAGTGCTCTTTTTTGGTATATTTGGACCCACGAAATGGAGGAAAAACTAATGGAGGTTTGACTGGACTCAGGAGCAACCGTGTCTGTTTGACGTTTCATACAGAAAGAAATTAGTTTATTATCAACGTTGAGGAGAAATGGCTAATTCCCTTTAAACTCAGGTGAGCAAATATGTACATTTTTCAATCCATTAAAGGCTTCTTTCTCATTATGTAGTTAATAACGTTCGAGGTTACTAAAGTAACCCTTCTCGGGGAACGGAAGCACTATAAGTGGATTTGATGTTCTAAATCCACGTATGGGAGGTTCGGTTCAGAAGCTACTCGTCTGAAAGAGTATTGAACGGGCCAATTAAGAATGAATTGGCAGCGCAAGCCTGCGCAGGTGAGCGGCATAAGCAATCAACTGAGTATATAAGCTCACCTGGCGCCAGCAGACGCTATCCTTTTTAAGCTGAAGAGACTTTTAACAGCTAAGGGAAAGTCATTATGGCGACGGAGTATAGTGCTTCCGTTCCCCTCCTCGGGGAACAAAGGGTTACTTTAGTAACCTCGAACGTTCCCCTTCGGGGGAAACTCCAGCACTATAAGTGGATTTGATGTTCTAAATCCACGTTTGGGAGCCCATTGAAAGCGCCATAATGACTGCACCTTACCAACACCCACCATGAGAGAGCGGTCAGGCAAGCGTGACGCGCCCAGAACATGAGAGGCGTGGTCCTCCAACGTGCCCTTGGCCCTAACTTATCCCACTTCAAAAGAAGTTTTACGGAATAGGTATCTTTTTTGGGAGTCGCTAGCGTCTAGATAATTCTAGGAATACACGACGTACGTTGGGAAGCGTGCCATCCCAGTAGGGAGGACGCTGCGGAGACCATCCGCACCCAATAGGGGGAACAAATGGAATTACATATGGACTAACCCTGAAAAGGGGGAGTGCGCATAAAAGGTGGTTAGCAGATAGGGAAAGCACGGGTCCGCCCAGGGGGGGAACTTAACCGTGGCGGAAAAGCATATGGGGATCACCAGCGGGGATCGGCCATAGCAGGCACCTATACCCAAAACGCGGGCTGACCAGCGGGCAGACCTACAACGTAATGGGCCAGCAAGTGACTCCTCCGCTGAGTCAGTGCTGGGGGCCTTGGAGGAATCTGCAGGGCTCACCGAATGGGGAACTTACTGACAGACAGGAGGGTGCATATCTCTCTGTGTTAGGGAAAAAAGGCACCGCAAGCGTGTACAACACCTACCGAGTTGTTTCCTCAATCACCAAAGGTACCGAACACCCTTGAGGAAACCGGCTCCACTCGCAGATTATAAAATCTTGCAAATGTGTTGGGTGTCGCCCAGCCCGCAGCTCTACAAATGTCTGTTAAAGAAGCGCCACGCGCACACGCCCAAGAGGATGCAACGCTCCGTTTGTGGAGTGCGCATGCACTCCCGGGGGGCGCGGCTGACCTCTGCTCAAATAAGCACATGAAATGGCCTCCACAATCCAGTGGGAAACGTAGTTTAGACACGGCACTTCCCTGCTGCCGTCCGCCATAACAGACAAAGAGCTGCTCAGAAGATCTAAAGTTCTGAGTTCTAAGGACAGGGCTGGGTCTGCCTCCTCCGGGGGCAGCGCTTGCAGGGTTACTACCTGATCTCTAAAGGGAGTGGTAGGAACTTTGGGCACATAACCCGGGCGGGGTCTCAGGATAACGTGAGAAAATCCCGGCCCGAATTGCAGGCACGAGTCACTGACCGAAAATGCCTCCAGGTCCCCGACCCTCTTAATGGAGGCCAACGCGACCAGCAGAGCTGTCTTCAGGGACAGAAATCTTAAAGATACTGTATCGAGTGGCTCGAAGGGATCAAATCGCAGGCTCGTGAGAACGAGGGCAAGATCCCAAGAGGGCGTGAGGGGGGCGAGTTGGATTAATTCGCCTAGCGCCTCTGAGGAACCGGATGATGAGGTTATGCTTTCCCACGGTGCCGCCAGCCACCGCGTCATGGT